ATGAACACAGCAGGCCAAGCAGCATCAGAGGAGCAGGAAGGCTGACGAAGGGTTCTGAAGAAGGGTCTAGGCCCGAAACGTCAGGCTTCCTGCTCCTCTGATGCTGCTTGGCCTGCTGTGTTCATCCAGCTCTACACCTTGTTATCTTTGGTTAGAAACATGGTTTTGTCAAAGGGACATCATGTTTATCTAATTTATGGGAGCTCTTTGATGAAGTAACTTGTGCTGTAGACAAAGGGAACTGATAGATATATTGTACTTAGATTTCCAGAAAATACTGAGAAGGTGCCATATCAAACGTTACTGCAGAAAATATAAGTCCACAGTGTAGAGGATAACATAATGGCATAGATAAAAGATTGACTGGCTAATAGGCAACAGACAGTGGGAATAAATGGGTCTTTTCCAGGCTGGCAGGATGTCATGAGTTGTGTGTCACGGACATCAGTGCTGAGACCTCAACTCTTCACAGTGCATATAATGATTCAGATGAAGGTACCAAAGGTATCGTAGCTAAATTTGCTCATGACACAAAGGTAGGTAAGAAAGTGATTTGAGAAAAGGACATAATGAACTTTCAAAGAGATATAGATAGGTTAAATGAGCAGGCAAAGATCTGACATATGGAGTATAAAGTGGTAAAGTGGGAAATTGCTTATTTTGGCAGAAAGAATAACGAAGTAGCATATTATCCAAATGGTGGGAGATTGGAGAACTCTGCGATGCAGAAAAATCTGGGTGTCCTACTTTATGAATTATGGAAGGGTAGAATGCAGGTAAAGTAAGTAATCAGGAAAGTTAACAGAATGTTATGTTTTATTTGATTTGACTTATTATTGTCACATGTTCCCAGGCACAGTGAAAAGTTCTGTTTTGCATGCAGTACAGGCAGATCATAACATACAAAGATCATAAGGTTATAGAACAGATCAAGGAATACAAAGTTACGGCTGCAAAGAAGGTACGCAAAAAGCAAGATCACATTAGATTTGAAATTTGAAAGGTCCATTCAGAAATCTAATAAGAAGCTGTTTTTGAACCTGTTAGTACGTGTTTTTAAGCTTTTGTATCTTCTGCATGATGGAAGATGTTGGAAGAGATTATAACTGGGGTGGGAGGGGTCTTTGATTATGTTAGCTGTCTTTCTGAGACATGGGGAAGTGTAGATGGAGTCAATGGATGGAAGGTTGTCTTGCATGATGGACTGGGCTGTTCACACCTCTCTGTAGTCACAACCCTCTGTATTGCGAGGGGAAATGATTTCAAGAGTAGGTTATGCATCGGTTATAAAGGGCATTGGTAAGAACATATCTGGAGTATTGTGGTCACCATACTTATGAAAGGATGTTAATGCTTTGGAAACAATTCAGAGAAGGTTACCAGACTAATACCTAGAATGAGCAAATTGCCTAATGAAGAAAGGCTAGGCAGCCCAGGCTGTATCCTCTGGAGTTTAGAAGATTCAGAGGTGACTTAGATTAAACCTGTATGATCCTGCGGGGATTTGACCAGGTGAATGTCAAAAGGATTTTTCCTGTTGTGGGAGAATCTAGAACTAGGGGGTCATAGCTTAAAAATAAGGAGTCACTCATTTAACACAGAGATGAGAATTTTTTTTCTCTCTCTCAGAAGTTGAGAGTCTTTGGAATTCCCTTCCTCAAAAGCCAGAATATATAAATATTTTTAAAGCAGAAGTAGAAAGATTTTTGATTATCAAGGGTATAAAAGATTATCAAGTATATGCAATAATGTAGAGTTGAGGTTAAAATCACATTAGCCATGATCTTATTTAATGGCATTGCAGGCTCAAAGGGCTGAGTGGCCTACTTTTGTTCTTGGTTCATATGTTGAGTGAAACAGACTGCAGCAACATGGATTCAAAATTGGCTGCGTGACAGGAAACAAAGAGTAATGGTTGATGGATGCCTGTAGTGGAAGGATGAAAAGATGAAAAAGATGGTTTGCAGTGGAGTTTCTCAGGGATTTATGGTGGGATCCTTGCGCTTCTAGATATTTGTGGTTGATTGATTTATTGCTGTCACAATACATGTTAAACCTGTATAAAACACTGAATGGCTTCCGCTCGACTGGAGTATTGTGCTCACTTCTGCACATCACACCTTTGTAAAGATGCTAAGACATAAGCAAGTGCAGAGAAATCATGAGAAGAGTGTTCCAGGGGTGAGGAACTTCCGTTACATAGAATTGAGATGTTGAGACTCTTTTGCTTGCAGAAGAAAAGTTTTGAGAGGATATCTTATAGAGGTTTTCAAATTTGTGAGGTGTCTAGACAGAGTAGATAGGAAAACAGTTCATATTAGTGGAAGGAAACAAGAACAGGAGGGCACAAATTTAAAGTAATTAGCAAGAGAAGTAGTGGAAACATGAGAAAGTTTATGCAGTGAATGGTTGAAATCTGGAATGCACTACTAGGTTGCGTGGTGGAGGCAGGTTCAATCAAATCATTCAAGAGGGAATTGGATTATTATTGGAAAGCAAGAATGCTCACGGTTATGAGGAGAAGGCAGATGGAAAAGGCCAAATGGTCTTCTCTGTGCTGAAACAATTCCATGATTATCATTTTAATTTTTGAACAAAACTCATTTTGAGATTTAAACATGTATTTCCCAACTGTGGTGTTGATTTGAGGAGAATTCCCATTTCTGCTTCATCATCCATGGACATAGTATTAGAATCCATGGAGCAAGAAAGTACAAGTGCTTTGGGTTAATTATTCCCATAATCATCTATTGTATAACATACTTTTTGAAGAGTATGTTATATTGATGTTGCCACTGGATCCAAAGATTCACAGGCTTTGATAATTGTCTGTAAATAACTTTTTTTTGCATGAGTTAACAGACTGCTGTTCTTTGCATTCTAGGTGGTCACATATAGACACATCGATTTTCACAATGACTGAATTTTTGACCGCACTGGTCTATGCCTCAGAAAAATCTGCAAACATTGCTCGTGCCTGCAAGCAAGAGGAGACACTCTTTCAGCTGCTGGTGCAAGAGAAAAAGGGGAGTGAGAAAAATAAGAAATTTGTTAGTGATTTCAAAACACTGGCAGATGTATTAGTCCAAGAAGTAATCAAACATGATATTGGAAAGAAAGTGAGTACCATGAATTTAGAAAGCTAATTAAAAGATATTTGTTCGCAATGTTTGTCTGTCTGTCCTATTTGGAAATAATTGGTCTGAGCTTGAACAGTAATGATGTACTTCTTACTCTTGTACTCAGTTAGTACACTGAATATTTGTACCTTTCTTTTGAAAATAGAATCAGTGAAAATTTGCATAGGAAACCTTTTATAATGATTAATTGCACCAGGATAAGAAAAATATATAGCATTAGAATAAGTGCACCAGCTCTCTTGCAGCCATGGTGATTAGCACTGGTAGTCCACTGAACAATGGACTACCTTCTAGATTTTGCTCTTTGGATGGTGCTAATTTTTAAATCTGTCCATTCCTATTAACTCTTACCAGTAGCAGAAGTACTATTTAAAGGGATAGGCAGGCAAAAGGGATTTTAGAGTAAAATGGAGTGATTTGATTTTTTTTCCTTATATTATGGAAATGACCTCTCCACAGTGGCATAACTTAAAAGTTAGTTGTGGATATGTGTGATATGAGCTACATCCTACAGTTCAATAACGTGGATTATTAGTAGTTCAGTGTGTTGTGAGTCTTTGCCAGCAACCAAATTCTGTGTACAGTAAACTGAACAATGGCCTGAAGGCATGATCATTAAATTCCAGAAAAGACCTAAAGATTATGCTGGATAAAATATCACAACTCGCTACCTCAACAATCATCTTTACATGCAGACATGGGCAAGTATTGTAATATTAATAGACCTAACATATCAATTTTCCGTCATATTTATGTACTTTTTCAAAATGAAATTGAATGGTTTGAGGAAGGTCCACATCTATAAACACAGTCACGAGAAACCTGTGGCCCAGTAGCCCTAGTAGTTATACCACAGTTGTACATAAAAATGAACGCCACTGCTGGAAAGAGTATCAGAGGATGAGGTAGCGCGAGGACGGGTCTCATAATTTAACTAGACCCCGACATCTTGAGCATTCATCATTAGTGAAGTCTCTACATTGCAGTGTTCTTGCTTGTGTTGAGAGTGAAGGGCCTCTCTGCTCCTTCTAAAATTTCCTGATTTTGCATTCGACAGCTCTTTTAAAGAGGGGAAAATTACATTTACATTCTGTTCAGCAATCCAGGCCTCAGTCCTGTCTGAAAGGCTACAATTTGGCCTGAAAACTACCACTGGACCTTCCAGTTTTGCCAAGTGTATCTATATGCTAGCTAGGTCTTTCTAGTTTTCAAGGTCGTAGGAATTTCAACAAGAGGAACTTTTGACTCTCACTCCCAATGCTTCTCTGAAGAACAGTTCTGTGGAATGGTCACTAGATACAAAAAATTGACTCTGCTTCTTTCCACAGATCCTGCTAGACCTGCTGAATTTTTCCAGCAATTTCTGTTTTTGTTTCAGATCTTCAACATCCATAATTCCTTGTTTTACCAATAACAATCTGGTATTCAGTTTCCAGGGCTGGAAGATTACATCTTTGGTGAAGAATCAAATCAATTCACTAACAGTCTGGGTAAGTAAAAGAAAAGTTTGAACATAAAAAAAATCAGAACCTTTCTTGGCGTTATCAAACTAGGTGAAAAGCTCCACCAATTTGTTGAATTTGGCAATACTCAATGTGGCTAATAAGCATCTTTATGTATGTTCGTCAAAAGTTTTACACCACCTGTAATTTAAAATTTCAAAATTAAGTAGGATAGACATTGCTGCAAGAATAACATCAAGTGAATGCTAATGTGTAACCCAGCCAGCAAACTGTGGTGAAGAAGAGAGATTCATTATTTGCAGATTGCCATAAGTTGCTTGCCAACTTTGACCTATCTATTGTTGGCTTCACAAAGATACCCTTAAGGTTGTTGTGCTTGCATATTGTTTGTCCACTAATTTTGGTACGAAAAGTTAAGTCCAATAAATAATAGCTTAAGTACTCTATATCAAGGTCATCATTGTTAATCAAGAGCAACCTTTTCTGCCAGGCTGTATCCTCTGGAGTTTAGAAGATTCAGAGGTGACTTAGATTAAACCTGTATGATCCTGCAGGGATTTGACCATGTGAATGTCAAAAGGATTTTTCCTGTTGTGGGAGAATCTAGAACTAGGGGTCATAGCTTAAAAATAAGGAGTCACTCATTTAACACAGAGATAATTTTCTTTTCTCTCTCTCAGAGGTTGTGAGTCTTTGGAATCCCCTTCCTCAAAAGGCAGAATATATAAATATTTTTAAAGCAGAAGTAGATGAATTTTTGATTATTAAGTGTATAAAAGATTATCAAGTCTCTGCAATAATGTATATAAGAAAATAAGAAAGAAATACTTCAAAGCATGGACTTTCTTTCATTTAAATAGTAAATTGCTGTTAATTATCTTAAGAATGCCAGAACTTCAGTTTTTTTTCCCTTCTTTTCTCCCTCTTTTGGTCCAATATTCTTTTCTTCCTCTTATTTCTCCTTCCACCCATTTTGAAATTGAATTTCCCTTCCATCCAGACCTTCCTCTGTTATTGCTCAAATTTTTAAAATCGTTGTTTAAGAAGAAACACTGTTCTGTTGTTCAGTAAGATCCGAAATACCATGTTGTTTTCACTGATTATCAGCTTGCTTTTCCAGACATAATTTTGAGCAAAGACTTTTTGTGGTGAACAGTGAAAGAACAAATCTAATAATAAGATATGCCGTGAAATGCCACATTCTGCAAAGTTTGGGCCAAGGCATTTCACATTGTTTTAAACTGTGAAAACAGACAAACTTAAACATCTTTGTTTTCTAGTTAATTATACATGCAATTAAAGCTGACACTTTTAAAATATTTTCACAAGTTCAATTAAGAAACATTTTATAATGTAACTTATTGCAACTCATGCAGTCGATAAATCCAGGACTAAGATTTACTCGCAAGAACATTCAACCAGAAATGGTTTTCTTTTCACGTTCTGCATGGGTGCCAGGTTCTCCATGAACAGTACTTAATAATTAAGAAGTACTCAGCAAGCATATTGTAACTTAACCCCAAGATTCAACTGTGTGGACAAAGGACGGTTGTAAGCTTTGTGACCTTTGTGAACTTGACTTTATAAAATTACCATCAGGATCACAGCATTACAAAGGACATTGTCTAAGTGAGAAAATATACATTCTTTGCTAGTGATAGTTTTTCACTACCACATAGGTAAAGTGTTTGTGGTTTTGGAATTAGGAGAACATCAATTTGAGTTCAAAATTGAAAGCAAGAATTTTTAAATTAGAGTGATTAAATAATGTACTGTGTATAAATTCAGACAAAGGGATGTTTGGTTTTATAAGGTTGCTAATTAATTGATTATATTTAAACCTGAAGTTAAGGCTGATCCTGTCTTTAACTTTTTAAACATTCTTTAATGGGAGTTGTCATGTCTAGCAAAGTTAGCATTTGTTGCCCATTCCTAATTGCCCTTGGACTGAGTGGCTAGCTAGGCTATTTCAGAGGGCAGGTAACAGTGAACCATGTTCCTGTGAGTCTGGTGTCACATGAAGGATGAGGTAAGAATGGCAGATTTCCTTCCCAAAAATACTAGTGAATGGATGGATTTTTTTAATAACAGTTGATGGTAGTTTCATAGTCAATATTAAGGAAATAGCTTTTATGTTCCAGCTTCAGTTAAATATGTGTTTTGAGCACTTTCTGTTACCACTGTCCATACTTTTTTTTCCCAAGACTCAAAAAGTCCTTTAACAAGACTCCTTGTTGCCTGAGGTGTTTTACCAGAGGTTAGGTGTAGGTCCAGGATAACACTAATGCAGAATCGCTATTCTACTTTTTGTTGGGCAGCTGAAGTGATGGTCCAGTGGCATGTCCAATACATCCCAATATCTTGTATATCTCCTGAGTAGATGGACCATATAACTGATTCATATAACCATCACCTCCTCTTTACTATGGACGTGCAGTCCCTTTACACCTCTATCCCCCATCAGGATGGTATTAGGGCCCTTCATTTCTTCCTGGACAAAAGGCTTGAACCATTCTCATCTACACCACACTCCTCTGCCAGGCTGAGCTTATCCTCACAGAATTTCTCCTTTAACTCTTCCCACTTTCTTCAAGTCAAAAGGATGGCCATGACTACCTGCATGGGTCCCAGTTATGCCTGTCTCTTTGTGGGGTATGTGGATCATTCCTTGATCCAGTTCTACTCTGGCCCCCACCCAAAACACTTTCTCCAGTACATCAATGGTATCATCAGTGCTGCTTCCCTCTCTCATCTGGAATTGGAAGTTTATCTATTTAGCTTTCAATTTCCACCCTGCCCTCACTTTCACCTGGTCCATCTCTGACTCCTTTCTTCTCTTCCTCAACATCTTTGTTTCCATTTCTGTGGATAGGCTGGCCACCAATATCCACAATGAACCCACTGACTCCCACAGTTACCTTGACTATATATCCTCACACCCTGCTTCCTATAGAGACTCTATTCCATTCTCCCAGTTCCTCCCTCTTGGTCACATCTGTTCCAATGATGGTAACTTTGACAATGGGGCCTCCAAAATGTCCACTTTCTTCCTCAACTGACAATTCCCCACAGCTATGGTTGACAGAGTCCTCAGACGTGTGTGACCATCTCCTACACTTTGGTACTCAACCCCTCTTTTGCCTCCCACAACAGGGTTGGCCTAATTCTTACCCACGATCCCACCAGTATCCACTCTCAAAGGATCATTTGCCGGCATTTCTGTCACCTCCAGCAGGATGCCATTACCAGACACATATTTCCCTCCCCTCCCTTGTCAGCCTTTTGTAGGGACCATTCTCTCAGGGTCACCTTGGTGCACTCTTCTTGCACTCTGAACATGTCCCCACAGCCTCACAGCACCTTCGCTTACAATTGCAGAAGGTGTAACACCTGCCCACTTACCTTCTCCCTCTTCGGTATCCAAGGCCCAAGACACACCTTCCAGGTGAAGCAGTGATTTTCCTGCACTTCACTCAATCTAATCTACTGTATTCGCTGCTCACAATGTGGTCTCTTCTACATTGGGAAGACAAAGCGCAGAGTGGGCAACCGCTTTGCGGAACACCTATGCTCTGTCGGCAAAAATGACCCAAAGCTTCCAATTGCCTGCCATTTTGACACATCATCGTGTTCCCTGGCCAACATCTCTGTCTCGGGTTTGCTCTGGTGCTCCAGTGAAGCTCAGTGCAAGCTGGAAGAATGGCATCTCATTTTCCGCTTGGGAATTCTGCAGCCTTCTGGACTCAATTTCGAGTTCAATAATTATAAAGCTTGAGCACTTTCTCCCTTGTTCTTACCCCAATCCCCACACACAAGGCCTTGTCATCACATTGGCTGCTACCACAAACAATCTGTTGTCAGTCACTAATGGTCCCCTGTTCTTTCATTCTCCCAGGCTGACCTTTACCCATTCCTTTGTCTGTCCAATCACAATTCTCTCTCTCTCTCTGGGCTCTATTTCCCCTCCCATTTACTCCCCATACCCACTCCTCACCCCATATTTAGCACATATACCAAACATTTCCTAGCTACAATCAGTTCTGGACCTAAAATATTAAGTCTGCTTTCTCTCCACAGATGCTAATAGAGTTTTTCCAGAAATTTCTGTTTTTGTTTTTGTTTCTGACTTCCAGCATCTTCAGTTCTTTGGTTTTTCCATTTGACCATGTAACTATATTGACATTAATTGATTCATAGCCAAAAGAGCATAAGACCACCAGAATTGTCCTTAACATCCAAGATTCCCACTCCTGAATGCTTACCTGCAACTAGGTGACTTGTAATCAGGTTATAGTCCAACAGGTTTATTTGAAGACACAAGTTTTCGGAGTCTCACTCCTTCTTCAGCTTAACCTGGTGTTGTGTGATTTTTGACCTTGTCAACCCCAATCCGACACCAGCATTATAGTGACTGTAGGGCAATGGCTTGTCTGAGATTGGATTGAAAGCTCCCTGCAGTTGAATAACATCTTAATGCTGACATTCAATGCTTAAGCTTGGCTGACAGTCATTCAGTTCAGTTAGCAGAGAGTGACTGGTGCCAGTGCACTCTGACCCAATGAGAAGAGGGGAGGAAGGAAGAACACGAAATGAAGAAAATGCAGATAATGGCACAAAGGGCCTGGTTTTATTTCTTGTATGGCTGTTTTTTTCCTGGAACACTGTGGTCGCAATCAGCAGGAAATGACTTCAGCTACATTGGTTAACAACTCAAAGTTAAATTGAATAATGTGACACTTTATCTCAAATATTACATTTGTAGACTTTTGAGGAAATTGGCAAATCAGAAATGTTGTTTAACAGATGCATTCTTGAATTTAAACTAAAGTTGTTGAATAGGAAAAGTCTAGGATTAGGATAAGGTGTGGCCATTGCAGAATCTTCAAGAATTTGACATTTGCAAGACACAAGGCATGGGAAATTTTGATAACAATTTCTAATGAATGTGGAAGTGTGTTGAGAAAGTCACTGTTCTCATTGGCTTTCCGAAAACATGGAAGACAGACATCAACATTTTCTACTAAAAG